AATTCAGCGGCCCAAAATTTCACTGTCGTAAATGATGGTGCAGAGTCCCCATACACAGAATCCAACTCATCTTTGATTTGCGTAGGCGTATTGCCTTTCAAAAACAAATATTTAATGACAGCTCGATACTCGATTTTGTCCATTTTCACAAAAACACTCACATCAACTTACTCAAACGACTGTTACATAACAACTGCGAGTCCAAAATGGCTGAAACTTCGGTGAGTAACTGTCAACAGATGAACAACGAAATTCACTAGCTTTTATTTACAAGTGCTGCTATCTTCACGTTGAGGTCGGAAACTTTTCAGACCACCCTCGTAGTTCCACGGGCACTTTTCCGCCCGCACCCGTCTTCTCCCTGTCGTTGAAACGCTTTAGAAATGGCACGCGCGCGCATCTCGGCCCTGCGAAAAATTGAGGAATGCACCGATCGACGATGCTGCTTGACGTTACTATTAGCTATCTCGTCACATGAGTGACGTTAAGCTTCGCAGAAGCAACGGTATAATTTTGGACGAAATATTACTCCCCTCTCCGAGTCGGCCGAGTCCGCGGAATATAATGTGTAGGTGGAGCATTTTCGCTCCCGGCGAATCAAACTCTTGCCAATTTTTCCCAGCCGAATTACATCGTTCTTTCGGTAATTAGAGCGTCGAGCTGAAACCTCAGGCGGACTTAATTGGGACAGTTAACCCGACAAAAATACTTCATCGCGGAAATTAATTTTTGCGCAGCATTCTGTTACGATAGGGAGAAGAATAATTTCCCGATTGCTTTACGCATCGCCACGCTGTGTGCTCGCGCGCGACGCCTACAACGAGATGTACGATAAAATATTTAAGGCGACATCGCCTTGATTACTTTGACGTTATCACGAAAAATGTCGTGTAGCTTGCGACGCCCGGAAACACCGTGCGGATTTGCATAATATAAGGCACTAGGAGAAGAGGGTCCCCCCATAAGGAATCTCGTCAAGCCCCTCGACGTACTATTTATATGAACGACATATATCTCGCTCTTGAGGATACATACAAATACGTATAAAGCGTTCAATCAGTCTTTTATTTGCGATTTTTACACGCCCGAGCATTCTATCTGGCTTCCCGAGTGTCACCCTTGATCTCTCCTGAAATTCCCCTGTCGTACGACAATGTTACATGGTTCTCCAGCGACAAGCTGAAACCGCTGTCAGATGCCTTGCTCCGTAGCGGCTTTGAGCATCTTCTGGCGGGGCAACCTAACTACCATACACGTTCCAACAATTTGTATCGCTCCAAGCGCATACGAAATATTCACTCCTTGTGATGCGCAACTCATATTGCACTTCGGAACTTAATAACAATAATCGAATCTTCTGTCTTTAATAATTATACGAATAATTATACAGTCTTGCTGAGTGAATGAGAGTTTTTTGGAAGAGAGCTTATACAAGTGATTTTTTTATGAGTCGATTGAAGGTAAAAGTATCAATTGCCATACACGCGTACAAAAAAATATCTTACTCAGCATATCTCTGCCCTTCAAAGTAAAAATATTAATGCTTAAATTCCTGATTCTTATTGTTTTGGTCTTTGAATATTTGAACTCTCAATATAGAATATATATATATATATATATATATATATATATATATATATATATATATATATATATATATATATATATATATATATATATTTTAT